TCTGACCAATTTTCCAACCCTTCTTAGTAATGGCGATGGTGCCAGAGGACCGGAAGATTGTTACATTGCGGAGATAGATAAACCCAGCTACTACAGGCCAGTCAGCTTGAAACAGTGATAACAAGGTGTAGAGCTGGATGAACACAGCAGGCCAAGCAGCATCAGAGGAACAGGAAGGCTGACGTTTTGGGCCTAGACCCTTCTTCAGAAATCCTGCTCTACACCTTGTTATCTCAGATTCTCCAGCATCTGCAGTTCCTACTATCTCTAAGCTTGAAACAGTGATTGGTATACTTCGAACAAGAACACACTAGAACAAAGTTAACTTACATTTAGAGAAACATGAGTTGATAAACACAAGTCAGAAAGGATTTACTAAAGGCAAATGACATTTCATTAACTTGATTGAGTTTGAGTTGTGCAGTTTTTTTATTCATTCATGGGAATATGGGCGTCACTGGCTAGGCTAACATTTATTGCTCATCCCTAATTGCCCAGAGGGCAGTTAAGAGTCAACCACATTGCTGTGGGACTGGAGTCACTTGTACACCAGACCAGGCAAGGATGTGTAGATTTCATTCCCTAAAAGGACATTAGTGAACCATATGGGATTTTCCTGACAATCAACAATGGTTTCATGATCATCATTAGATTTGTATTTCCAGATTATTACAGAACTCAAATTCCACCATCTGCCAAGGCACGATTTGAACCCAGGTCCCCAAAATATTACTTGGGTGTCTGGATTAGTAATCTAGTGATGATACCACTAGGTCAAATGCAAGTTGTGATTATGGATATTCAAAGTTGTTTGACAATGTATCACATAATAGATGTCTTCATGGGGTTAAACGGCAGATACTGCATAGATATAAAATTGGCTAAAAGGACAGAAAGTAATGGTAAATGGTTGTTCTTCAGACCGGAGGGCAATGTGAAAGAGTAAGCCCTGGGAACTGGAGTTGAGATCATTCTTCTTTTTGATGTATATAGTAAAGACCTAGACTTGATAGATAGAATATAGTTTCAAAGACTTCAGATGATACAAAACTCCAAATGGCAGCAAACAATGAGGATATTAACAATCATCATTAGCACAGACACTGATGAAATGAGCAGATATGACAGATGTAACATAACAGACCTTATAAGCAATTATTTTGGCAGGAAGAATGAGAAAAGTAAGTATATTCTAAATGGTACAATTTTAAAAAGGGGTGATGGAACAGAGGGACCAGGGTTACACAAATATTTGAAGGTCACAGAACAAATTAAAAAGGCATAAGGAATCTCTTATCAGGAAAACTTCGTTAATAGAATACAAAAGCTTATGTGAACCCTGCAAAACACTGGTTTCAGCCATAGCAATTATAATTGGGCACAGCACATCAGAAAAGGACATCAGGGATTTGCAGCGGGTGCAGAATAGCTTTACTGGAATGGAGTCAAGAATGATGCTGTTCTGTTACATGGAAAGATTTATGAAGTTGCAGCTGAGAAGATTAAGAGTAAATTTCATGCAGATATTCAAAATCATGGAGAGTTGTGACAATTTCTCCCTACTTCTTCTATTTCCAGTGACAGGAGGGTCATTCACCAAAGTTAAGGCTATTGGCAAAAGAACCGGAAGTGACATGAGGAAATTAGTGTTTTAACGACACTGATGTTGTAATGGTCTGGAATGGACTGCCTGAAAATGTGTGGTGGAAAATAGTAATTCTAATTCCCTTTTGAAGGTAGAATCAGAATGGTGTAGGAAGTCATTCGGCCCATCAAGTGCATTCTGCTCCCTGTAGAGTCATTCAGCCTACGCTATAACCCCATAGACTATTTCCCTCGTGTGCATGCAATTTCCTTTTTAAATTAATCATCACCTCTACTTCCACCACCCTCAATTGGCAGGTCCAAGTCATTATCATTCATTGTGAGAAAAGAAGTTCTTCCTCCTCGCACCGCCATGTACCTTTTGGCCTATACATTCATGCCGTGTCCCCAATCCTTGTACCATCACCTAAGGAACAGCTTTTCTTTATCTACGTCATAATCTTGAAGACATCTATCAAATCTCCTAAGCTCTTTTGTCCTGAGAACATGCTCAGCTTCACGTATCCCTAAAAGCTGCTATGTTGATTAAGAAATTAAGAAAGCTTGCATCCAAAGCTATGCAATAACCATGGGGATTGCTAATATTTATATTGGGGAGAAAAATGTAACTCAGCAATAGTAGCTTGAAGGTCGAGAAAGTATTTGAAAGTTCCTTGGAACAAATAGTTCCTGGAATGAACCAGGGGAGATGTAATTTTAAAATCTTGATCTGTGTAACGAGACACAGTTATTGGACGATAGGGAGAGTGGGGGAATGAGATTAATTGCATAGCTTGACCAAAATGCCAGCAGAGGCATGACTGAATGCTCTCTATCCACGCTGCATTGTTCAGTGATCCTATAGCAAACTCTGATGAAGAGAATCCAAATACAAAAAAGTACCACATCGCTTTTGTTCCACTTTTTGCTCCTGCATTCCATCGCTCTCGTAACTTGTATTGTCCAAAGTTCTCTCTTAGCTTTCACAAAGCCTCACCTTCCCTTTCTCCACACCTCCCTCTTGTTTCTGATTTCCCTCAGACCCTTTAGTATATCAGTCTATTGCTCCAAGTTGCCTCCTCCTTGGCTCTCTAATGTAGAGCCATTTTTGCCTGCAGTCCCCACCTCCCCCTCACTTTCCAAGGCAGCTCTGGGATAAGTTAATAACCAATGTTCAGCTCTGAGTCCTTGAGGGTCAATGTACTTTGCTTGTCCTTAACACAATATTAAGAAGTACAAGAATCAGCACAATCTGGTATATAGATAGGGATTTCTCCAGAGAAACAGAAACTAAAATGTTCTGTAATGTTCAACGTGGATAGACAGTCTTCCCACACACACTGGCTAGGGGTTAAGATTATGCTGAACAAATACATACAGATTTTAATCCTGGAATTAATGACCATGGAGTAACCAATAGATAATGATTCCCATCAGTCGTTCACTCAACAATAATTGCAGGCTGGAACAAATTTGGTTTTGTATTTGCTCTGGAGAGCAGCACATCCTCAGAGAGCCTGGCTCCTTCTGTTTTTAGGATCTCTTGCTCAGCAATTCCTGAACCGTACACAGGATTCAGTGGGAGTGAGGCAAAGCACTTTTAATAGCTACTGCAGCAAAGACTTGGATTTGTACAATGTATTGTAAGAAAACATTCCATGGCATTCCACAAGAGTGTTATCAGACAAAATCAGCATCAGAGTCCTGGAATTCCCTTCCCAGCAGCAGTGTGGGTGGTACCTACAAGACAGCAGCTTCTTAAAGGCAATGAATATTGGCCAAGCCAGCATTAGCCTAGACCGCATTCCATGAACAAATAATTTTAAAAACTGACAGAGCTAGACAAGATATTAAGTGTGATACATAAAAAGCCTGAACAAAAATGTCACTTTAGAGAGGAATTTAAAAGCAGGATAGAGAGGTAGAGAAATTTAAGGACTGAATTTACAGAATTTAGGGCAGCACAGTGGCTCAGTGGTTAGGACTGTTGCCTCACAGCACCAGGGACCCGGGTTCAATTCCACCTTTGAGTGACTAGCTGCGTGCATTCTCCCCATGTCAGTGTGGGTTTTGTCCAGGTGCTCTGGTTTCCTCCCAAAGTCGAGGGCTGTGCAGATTAGGTGAATTGGCCATGCTAAATTGCCTATAGTGTCCAGGGATGCGTAGGTTAGGTGGATTAGTCATGGTAAATAAGGGTTACGGAGATAGGGTCTGGGTGGGACGCTCTTTGGAGGGTCAGTGCAGACCTGATGGACTGAATGGCCTGCTGCTACTCTGTAAGGTTCTATGAATTTAAGACAGATAGTCACTGGGTTAATATATATGCATCAAGTGTCAACAGAATAACAAAGAGGTGGTTTAATTTGCCGGGGAACTAACATGAAAGAAAACATATGATGACAGTGGGTTATAAATACTGCCCAGAGACTGAATGAATAGCATAATGACTTGTCTCAATTTAAAGCCACAATGACACAATCTTCATGAGAGAATCATTTTTTTTGATTTCCTATTAGATTAACTCCTTCCCTCTTTCACCCCACCTTTACCTCTTTCCCAGGCTGCCACCACCACATGTAATCTTTCCAATTTTCCCTTGAATTGTTTTTTTCTCCTCACTCCCAAGTTGTCCCAGAATATTAGTTCCATACGTGGCAGACACTCTGTTACATCACCAACTGGTTTTTCCCACAATGAATGGTATCACAACTAATGCAAAGCTGGTCCACATCCAACTGGCTGCATGGGACTTGAAGTCTGGAATGACCACCAATATCTTTTCACCTCTCCCTCCGTCAAGATGCTCCTCAAAACCTATCATTTTGACCAAGCTTTTGGTTGTCTGATCCAATATTTTGGAGTCTCAGAGTTAATAACTGTTCCATAACTGTCCATAGGTTTAAGGTGAGAGGGGAAATATTTAAAAGGGACCTGAGGGGCAACTTTTTCATTCAGAGGGTAGTGCGTGTATGGGAATGAGCTGCCAGAGGAAGTGGTGGAGGCTGGTACAATTATAATGTTTAAAAGGCATCTGGATGGGCATATGAATTGGAAAGGTTTACAGTGATATGGTCCAAAAGCTGACAAATGGGACTAGCTTAATCCACAACATCTGGTCAGCATGGACAAGCTGGACCGAAGGGACTGCTTTCACCCTGAACAGCTCTACGAATCACAAGCTTTACAGACACTTATCCACCATGTGCCACATAATTCTGACCTTCAGATCTGCCAAATCACCATATATGATACCCCAACACAACTATATCCTTCTGGTAAAACACCAATCATTGGTCCCCGTGCATCTTCTAACTATAATACAGCACTGACTGAGTAATACATCAGCCATCCCTCAATGCCTTATCTAGAGAGGACCTGCTATTACTTGTATATAGTTGTGGTACCACAGTACTTACCCATCACAGACCTCCCGGATAATTGCAATCAACGGCTTTTTCTGAAAATGACAAAGAATTGAGTTAGCAATTAAACTAACCAGCTGACACTTCAGATCACATCAAACCTTCCAGAATTGTATTGAAAGAATATTTCACTATCAGCTCAAAACCACAACAGCATTAGGTTTACTTTATAGTAAATTCCTGTATTTGAAATGCAGGGTTACAGTTCCTGCCCTCTCACATTACTCTGCCCTGATGTTAACCGCAGTTCTCTCCTCCCTTTTCAGTTTTTGGTTCTTCCCCATTCTCAATCATCCATGTGATTCTCCAGCTTCAGTGTGTGCTCCTTACATATTTGTGTCATTTGAGCTCTGTCAACCCATCAAAAATATCTGAGTTCAAGTCCCGTTCAGGACTTGAGCACAAAAATTAAAGTTGGCACTCCAGTGCAGTACGGAGGGAAAACTGGACTGCTGAGGGTACCATCTTTCAGATGAGACATTAAACCTATGTCCGAGATAACACAGTGTGGAGCTGGAGGAACACAGCAGGCCAGGCAGCATCAGAGGAGCAGGAAAGCTGACATTTCAGGTTGGGACCCCCTGCCCTCTCACGTGGAGGTACAAGATGACACTATTCCAAGACAGAACAGGAGGGCTAACCCCACTGTCCTGAACAATACTTATCCTGTTCCAAGGAAGAGTCATACTGGTCTCAAAAAGTTAACACTGTTTCTCGTTCCACAGATAATGCCAGACCTACTGGGTTCCTCCAGCAATTTGAGATTCTAATTCAAAAAAAGATTATCATACTGCTGGAATATTAAAAGGTGCTATACAAATGAAGGAACTCAGCAAGCCAGGCATCATCAGAGGAGCAGGAAGGTTGACATTTTGAGTCGGGACCCTTCTTCAGAAAGAAAACATTCCATGGCATTCCACAAGAGTGTTATCAGACAAAATCAGCATCAGAATTCTGGAATTTTCTTCCTAGTAGCAGTATGGGTGGTACCTACAAGACAGCAGCTCACCACCACCTTCTTAAAGGCAACAAATATTGGCCGAGCCAACATTAGCCTAGATCACATTCCATGAACAAATAATTTTAAAAACTGACAGAGCTAGACAAGATATTAATTGTGATACATGAAAAGCCTGAATAACAAGCCTTAAAGGCAGGGTAGAGAAGTAGAGAAATTTAAAGGACTGAATTTACAGAATTTAGTGTGGCACGGTGGCTCAGTGGTTAGCACTATTGCCTCATAGTGCTTTTCAGTACACCCATTTCTGGAGAAGGATCCCAACCTGAAACGTCAACTTTCCTGCTCCTCTGATGCTGCCTGGCCTGCTGTGTTCCTCCAGCTCCACACTGTGTTATCTCTGACTCTGCATCTGCAGCTCTTGATATCTCTCAATACAAATGAAACTGTTTTTTAACCTCTGTTCCATTCCAGTTTATTTCTGGCACCGTTATCTTTATGGGGTGGGGGGGTGCTGGGGGCTGGGGATCGTTGGTTTGTTGGTTTACGATGCAAGTGATGCCAAGCTCATCATGAAGGCTCTGTTTTCTCAACTTCACCTCTTGCTTGAGGCATGGTGACCCTTGGGATAAACTCAGTGGCAGTCAGTCAGTCAGTCAGTCATCGCTGTCTATTGATAGGGTAGCTAGTCGTCCTCTGGGACAATGGTGACTTTCACTTTTCAGTACACTCAGCTCCATGAAGGCCATCGAGAATACTGTGATTGGGAGGGAAAAGGTCATTTTGCACCCATGGTTACTAAATTTTTGCATCAATGGGATTTCCTTGCATCATATTTGACTCTCTGTAGTAAACCAAACTAGAATTGCTATAATTAGTCAACAAAGAACAGCACAGCACAGGAACAGGCCCTTTGGCCTGGCAAGATTGCGCCAACACATGATGCCTTTTTAAATTAAAGGACCTTTTGCCCCTATGCGGTCTGTATCCCTCTATTCCCTGCCTATTCATGTATCTGTCAACATGCCTCTTAAATGTTGCTATTGAATCCACCACCGCCACCTCCTCTGGCAGTGCGTTCCAGACACTTACCAACTTCTGCGTAAAAAAAAACCCGCCTCTCATGTCTCCTTTAAACATACCCTCTTTTTAACTTAATCCTATGTCTCCTAGAAATTGACATTTTTACCTTGGGAAAATGATTATCCATTCTATCTATACCTCTCATTGAAATTTATAAAACAATCAGGCTGCCTCTCATCTTCTGACATTCAAGTGAAAATGAACCGAATTTGTCCAATTTCTCCTCATAGCTAATATAGCTCGAACCAAGCAACATCCTGGTAAACCATTTCTGTGCCCTCTCCAAAGCCTTCACATCGTTCTGGTCGCGTAGTAACCAGAACTGTGCCCAATATTCCAAAAGTAGCCTAACTGAAGTTTTATACAGTTATAACATAATTTGCCAATTTTTATACTATATGCCCTGACTGAAACTCCTTCATCATCATTTCCCAGCATGAAGACTCAAGGCATACTAGGTACACTTTGGTCCTTTTACCTCTAAGAATTACTAAATTCCCAGTTTATAGTAAAACATGCTTCTGCTGATCAGAGAAAATTGGTAATGAGAGGTAAATAGAACCTTGTGTAGTTCTCCAATAGTCCAGGTTTCACCCCTCTACCACAGACTCTCTCCTCCAACCCACTTGTAACCCTTTCCATTCCATTGCAACTTCTTGCAAAATACTGTGTATGCATAGGTATGAGCTCTGAGCAAGGTTTGGAATTAGAACACTTCCAAACCTAACTAATAGCACACATGGACAGGCACAAGGGACTCCGAGAAGGACAGTCAGTCAGTTAGGAATGAATTAACACGTTTGAATGGCAAAGGAAGATTTAGAATTGTACAGGAATTAATTTTGTGGGTAAAAATTGCTTAACAAGTTGGAGGCAAGATGTTCAAAATGGAATAACTATTGATGGTGTCTGCATGGAATACACTGCAAGAGACATGTTACTTACTTTTGCTTCTTTCATTAAGGGAGGGACAACAGGATCAAGGTTCCAGACAGCTAGAAGAAGCTGATAGTTTTAGGCAGGCAAGGAGAAACGACAGAAAATGAGTTGGGGAGCTCAGACAAGAGGATAATGCACTTGGATTAACTCTGCTGAAAGAAGATCAGTTTAGTGTAATCGAAAGGGGCACCATCCAACAGGCATCCAATACGCTGCCTGTAAACTTTCATTTCACTATCCAAAAATATCCAGGAGAATCTGCATGCAATATAACTTTGGTCTTGCACTCTGCTACACAGCGAACATGTTCAGTAGCTAAAACTGAGATCTGTGCCTGATGCCTTTCAGTGTGTCACTTTTGTTTGAGATAATCCTCACCCCAATTACACTTGCCTGCCTCACAGGAAGTGAAGACGAACAATGTGGCAGTATTCAATCTTGGTTAATAGTGCGGCAGGGGTCTTGAATTCAAAGCTACTCAGAGATGCAAGGAAGGGGAACAAACACCACATTTAGAACTTGGGGAGGGGTAGAAGATGCAGACAGTTCTTCTTACAACAACACTTTATGGAAGGAGTGGATGATAAACAACTTCACTGGTAGCCACAGTGATGTTAGCTCATGGCAGGGGTGCACACCCACCAGTCCTGGAGGCCGTTGTCCTTTGGGTGTATACGATTTAAATATTGAATACAGCAACTTTATATCATCACTTTCACATTGGAGAATTAAGAGTACAACTGAGCTTTTTCAGTTTTGAGTATCTTGCTGATACTCCAGTAGTTAGGAGAATACTGCTTTTGTATGCCCTCAGCTTTAGTACATTCCCATAGGCCTAGGCCATCATTCAAAACTAGATCCAGCCACTGAAATGTGAAATGTGTCCACAGACTGAATGACAGTAGCTATCCATCCACACAGTACTGAGTACAATCAAGTGGAAATTAAGAGATTTTTAGATATTAAGGGAATTGAGATAGGGCAAGAAAGTAGGGCTGATCTAGAAGATAATTATGATCTACTAAATGGCAGAACAGGCTTTGAGTAAAGGGTTAAAACTTTGTTTCTGCTCCTATTCCTTTTACACTTGATGGAAGTCAGCAGGGGGTTGAGAGTCCTAGTTTGGCTTGATCCTGTTTTACTTTGCTATCTACAGTTGCAGTTACAGAGCAAACAGGAGCTCAGATTCAGGCTGTTTTCATCCTTCCCTAGCTCAGAGGCATAGATGGCACTGTAAGAATGGAGTACAAACCACTTCAACCAATACAGAGTATGAGCTCAACCTGTAGCCTCCTTGTGCTGTACGGTGACTTACTCAGCTGCAAACAGATACTGATTGAAACCCTAGATTACGATCCCTCAGTGACTCACGAGCAACCTGGTAGCGTGCTGAGCAATTCAATTTCAGCTCTGCAGTGAGGTTCCAACTTCAGCAACCACAACACAATGCACAGCTGATAGTAACAGACTGAACTCAGGGATGGCATTATATTGTTGAAGTGACTTACCCCAAACAGTTCTATTTTCACAACTTTGTTTCTGTGGATCAATTTCTTTTTGGTACACCATTGTTTTGTTAAGGACATTTATTTGGGAAATAAATGATGACTTTGCCAGTGATGTCCACATCCTATAAAAGATAAAATCTCCTGTAGATATTGCTGTTTCATTTCTTGTGAAGCATTCTTGAGGGATTAGGTCTATTTTCCAAGTCGGCCTTAGTCACTCACAGGCCAGACTGGTATTAATTATTTGCAATGCAGTGGCCTTGCTAGCTGACCCCTAATAGCGCATGTCAACTCCACCCACATTCCACCAAACCTAATCCTTACCACCTCTTCTGGATGACACTCTACTGCTCCCGAATCAGCCTCCCTAAGCAAGGTGTAGTCTTTAGCCTGAATCCATGGCCATAAACTCGCCAGGAGCTGCATTGAAGACACTCAAATTTTAACCCAGAACCTCTAAGAGTTGGCAAAGACTCCCACACAATCAATCAATATGGGTGTGGGGTTAAACCAAGGTCCCAGCAGTGAAAGGTCCTTACGCAACACCATGACCCCCAGTTTCCTCTCACACCCCACTGGCAGTGGACAAGGAAAGTCAAACATTGTAGAATAAAGGCAAACCTGCAGAACAGTAATATTCAGCCCCTCCCAGGGGAGCCAATGGTCTAGCAGTTTTATTGCTAGACTCTTAATCCAGGTAATGTTCTGGGGACCCGGGTTCAAATCCCATCATGGCAAACGGTGGAATTTAAATTCAATAAATTATTTGGAATTAAGAGTCTAATGAAACCATTGTTGATTGTTGGAAAAGGCCATCTGGTTCATTAATGTCATTTAGGGAAGGAAACTGCCATCTTTACCCTGGCCCATAGCAATGTGGTTGACTCTTAACCGCCCTCTGGGCAATTAGGGACGGGAAATAAACATTGGACCTAGCCAGAGATGCCCTCATCCCGTGAATGACTTTTTTTTAAAAATCACCAGCACACAACACTCAGTTGTTTTATTTATTTCATGTATCCAAAGTTGTCCCCTTTAAGTGGTTGTAATTAAAGAATGGTAACTGTCAGCAACAGCAGCTTGCATTTATTTATACCACATTTAGGTAAAACATCCCAAGGCATTTCACAGAAGCATAATCAGACAAAGAGTGGCACCAAGAAACATTAGCATTGGTGACAAAAGACTTGGTGAAAGAGGTTGTGTTTTAACAAGCACCATAAAAGGAGATAGTAAAGCATAGAAGGTAAGGAAAGGAATTGCAGTGCTCGGGATATAAGGAGCTGAAAGCACTGCCACCAATGCACTGAAACATGTGGTTGATGTACAAGAGTATTGATTTGAAACAATGCAGGGGGCATCACAATTAAGCAAGATCTTGTCCTCAAGAATACAATCCCTAATGTATCACTCTTATTTCAACAGTTCGCTGCTGAAGGGATGACATTCTGATTAAGCAGAGTTCAACCAAGCAGCTTTAGCTTGATCCATATGAAAAATAAATCTCATTAACAGGTAGCAGCTGGCAAACACGCTGCCTGCAGTGATGTGTGATTTCCTAGAACCAGCTGCCTCTCCACCCAGATGTTCGAAACCAGCATCAAATTTACAGTCCCCAAGCTCAATCGATAGCAAGTTCAAAACTGGCTGTGCAGTGTGTCACGTAGCATCTTACATCTGCTGTAGTATCAAACACAGTCTCAGAAAAGTGCGACAGACTGTCAACCATCTACAAGGCACAATTCTGCTCACCTCAAGAATGCAGTTCCAACAACACTCAAAAAGGTTGACACCATCCAGGACACAGCAGCTGCTTGATCAGCACCCTATTCATCAACTTCAACACTTACTCCCTTTACCTCCAACACATTGTGGCAGCTACGTGTACCATCTACTGCAACAACACACCAAGCCTCCTTTAATACCAGCTTCTAAACCCATAATCTCTACCACCCTGGAAGGACAAGGACAGCAGATACATGGGAGCACCACCACCTGCAAGTTTCCCAAGTCATGTAACCAATCTGACTTTGAACAATGTCACCATTCCTTCATTGTCGCTGGATATCCCTTCAAAATAGTTCAATGTGTGTACCTACTCCCACAAAATAATCAGACTAAGGCTCTCTGATAAACTCCTTTCGTACAAATGTCAACATTACTGATTTCCAGCCAGTGTTGACTAGACCTACTGGACACTCACCTGGTCTATCTCAATCAGCTGGGCATTGGCTCCTGGCCATTCGATCGCCACCTTCACGATGTCTGATGGGGGCGGCATTGGGACAAACAGTCCAGCTTGCGCTCTCAAACAGCTCCAATGGATGCACCAGCACCTTGATACATCAGCGGTTAAACCTGTGCAGCAGAGCAACGTAAAATTAAAAAGCTATAGTTGAACACTTTCCAACCGGTTATATTTATCCCTTAGACATGCAACTTAGCTACACAGATCTGAAGATCCAGTTTTAATCGAGAGTTAGCCAATCTCTGGAGGAGGGCTACAGTAGATCTTAGGTCCTGGCCTGGAAAATGGAGAATGAGCTAACAGACTCCACACTGCTGGAAACCACACATTCCCAACAATGAAGCAAAGGCAGACTTTACCCATGATACATGCAAAACCAGGGTAGCCTGCCAGCGCACTGTTTAAGCTCGCTGCACAGAAGGCCATTCAGCCCATTGTGCCTGGGCTAGCTCTTAGAAAGAGCCACCCAGTTAGTCCTGCTCCCCTGCTCCTTTCCCATACCTTTACAAATCCTCCCTTTTTGGAGGTTATATCAAATTCCCCATTGAAAGATTAATCATCCATTTCTGTGACCTACCATTGGACTGTTTAACAGCTATGGAACTGCACCATGATGGGGCTCATTTTATTTAGGCTTGGGAGAGGGAGAGGGAGGGGAGGGGGATGCTGTCACAAGAAATGATGACAGAAACTCCTCTGGAAAAAAGAAACTGAGAACAGAAAAACAAATATATGAACCTGCAGAATTAAGCTTCTGGCGAATGGAAATGGGTTAATACAGAATGTGTCATAATTCAGGTCATTAGAAACCTGACAAAGACATTACAGCTTGCGACCTATGACTTGTCTGCTGCTTCTCAACTCAGATAAGGGAGGCCGCTCCAAAAACAAAATTAAGAATCATCCTCTCACAACTGCCAGGTGGGAAAGGGAGTTGGTTGAACCATTGAACAATATTATAATCTTCTTTCTATTGTTAAGAAATGCAAGTGTGATTTTCTACAATGATATGTGTTTGATAGTTTTCACGCGAATGATAGAAAAGATGTTAGATGTTAGGCACAAAGCCCTAAATAGATAAATTGACTGGAGTGACTCAAAGGAGACACTTGTACAATCTGGGATGTTGAATTCTAAAGATAAATTGTTAGGGTCTGAACCAAGGCTGATACGACCAAGCAGTAAACTTGCCACAGGCTTGCAATAACTGATCAGATGGTTTACTTTACCCATTTAGCTCTAAACAGCAATCCCTAACAACCCCTGAAAAATCAAGATTTTTTTTTGGGGGGGGGGGGGGGGGGGGGGGGGGGGGTGTTCACGAGGATGTTCTTTGGGCCGTACAATCACTGGACTGCACAGCACCAATCATGCCAAATGCTTCATTGAACTGCATCCACTCTCATTGCAATGACTTTCATTTTTAAATCCCCAGAATGAGATGGGATGGGATGTGATCTCCAACAGGATGAGGAAGAATAGAAAAACATTTAATAGAAAATAGTCAGTTCCCAGATTCCACAGCCAAGATTCCAGTGAGCAAGTAATAGATTCATTCAATACTCCTACAGTTTAACATCTGGCCTCACCAAGATACAGAAACAGGACAAACATATTTAACGCCTATTAATTTATGCATCATAGTACAGGCTGAAAAGGAGGAAAAGAAAAAACAAAAGCCAAGAACCTGCTCAACAGTCATTCTTTCCCAATGTTTTGGAGAAGCTTATCTCTATCAGGCTCCCTTCCTCCTTATCTTGGTGTCATTTAACCACCACCACTCAAAAGGACCTTCAATCCAATTTCTTCCAACTCAGCAGTTCCCTACAAGGTAGGGGTTGAACCTCCACAGTTTTATAGAAATCACACAATATGGAAATCGACTTACTCCACTGCCCAACCCCCAACCAAGACTGACCACGGGCTTTCCCCATCCCCAGAACTTATTTCTGATGGTGGTTGGATGGTGATGGAGTGGAGTACATTACCACCTGCCTAACTAAATGCCCTTTCTTTCCACTTTCCAGCCCCAGCTCACAACCAGCAATAGCAGATGATGCCACCCATAACCTCTGGGTTGCTGGCTCAGTACCATGTTGATTGGGCTGTGATCTGCGTTCAATACAAGCCACACAGTACTGGGTACACATTAGAAATGTAAACGATGAGAGGGTATCCGAACAAAGATTGAAAGAGGCGCACACTCACACTTCAAGTTTGCTTCAGCATGCTTAGAAATAAGCACATGCAAAAACTAGGAGACTAGAGTCTCAATCATTGCAGTGGTAGAATATTCTGGGAGGCTTTGAAGATTCTTTGCACTGGAGATGTGGAGGATGGAGAATGTAGAGGTAACAAACAACTGGTAAAGAACACAAAGTTAATAAGGAAGAGGCAAGAAAATTCAGCTTTAATGTGATAATGGTAGAGTAAGATAACGGAACACAGCAAGGTGCTTTTTGAGGAGAAAGCTAGCAGTGATTGCGTAGAGCGTATGCAATGGAGTACCAGGTTAAACTGTAAATTTACACATTTAGGTGGACTGGATAAACAAGCCCAAAATCAGCAACTTTACCTCCTTAAAGACCACATATTTTAGAATCATAGAAGGCCTAAAGTGCAGAAAGAGGTCATTCAGCCCATTGAATTTGCACCTCTGAAGGGCATCCCAGACCCAGATCCCCACCGTATCCCCTTAACCCTGTATTTACCATGGCTGATCCTCTCAGACTGCAAATTTCTGGACACTACGGGTAATTTAGCACAGTTAACCCACCTAACCCGCACAACTTTGGACTGTGGGAGGAAACTGGAGGAGACCATCATAGATACAGAGAAAACATGCAAACGCCACACTGACACAAGGCTGGAATTGAACCCAGGTCTCTGGTGCTGTGAGGCACCAGTGCTAACCACTGAGACACTGTGCCACACGTCTTAAATAATTCCAAGGAATCTGTCTGCTTTAGTCATGTCAGAAGGATAAGGGAGAGGTTTGCGAGGGTTAGGACTCTAGTAGCCTTGATTCCCTACCAAGGCACACATCCACATCAAATAGATGTGGGCAAGAGAGACTAATCTCCCACAGCTCTCAAAGTCTCATTTACAACTACAAGTAATTGGTTGTTCACACCAGTGATCAGCAGTGTAAGACGTTACCACTTCTAATGTGTCCCTGTCTGGAAACAGAGGAAGAGACAGAAGGTCCTAATAAGTTAGTAAGACAACGGTTCAGAAAAGAGACCAGCAAGCTGTGTGACACACCCAAGGCCACAGTCTTCATGATGATCAGTAAGGCAATGCGGCCAGCCCCTTGTGAAGAGGCTGGGCCTCACTAACCGCGGAATTAGTCATGGAAGGTGACAGTCAAACGACAGGAGGTACAGAACAGTATGGCTCCCCTACAACCAACTCGATTGTAAATAGTGACCAGATGGAGAACCTCTTACTCAAAGAAATAACCTATAAATTTATGACAAAGTCACCCAAAACTCAAACAAGAGGTCAGCTGCTGGGCCTGTTATACCCAATGGAAGATGTAGTTTCTTGAGAATAGGTACATGGAACATAAGAACTTTTATATCAGGCTCAGGAAAGCTTCATAACTGCATAAAGGTCATAGAAAGATCACACAGGACTTGCAGAAGCAAATAAAAACTAGTCAGATAAAAGAAACAGGAATTTTACTTTACTCGCCGTGAGGTCATAGTTTTTACAGCATGGAACGAGGCTCTTCAACCCATCATGTCCACGTCAATCATCAAATATCCATCTAATCTACTCTTATGTTCCAGCACTTGGCCTGTAATCTTACACTATGGCACTTCAAGTGCTTATCTGAATAGTTCTTATATGTCTATTGGGTTCCTGTCTCTAGTACAGTGAGTTAGACAGTGAATTCCAGATGCCCACAAAGGACTAGGTGAAAACAGAGTCAGTCACAGTCATAGAGCTGTACAGCACGGAAACAGACTCTTCAGTCCAACTTGTCCGTGCTGACCAGATATCCTAAATTAATCTCGTCCCATTTGCCAGCATTTGGCACATATCCCTCTAAACCCTTCCTATTCATGTACCCATCCAGATGCCTTTTAAATGTTGTAATTGTACCAGCCTCTGGCAGCTCATTCCATACACGCACCACCCTCTGTGTGAAAAAGTTGCCCCTCAGATCCCTTTTAAATCTTTCCCCTCTCAGCTTAAACCTATGCCCTCTAAGTTTTGGACTCCCCTACCCTGGAAAAAAGACCTTGGCTATTCACCCTATCCATGCCCCTCATGATTTTATATTACTCTATAAGCTCACCCCTCGGTCTCCGACACTCCAGGGAAAAAAGCCCCAGCATCTTCAGCATTTCCCTATAGTTCAAACCCTCCAATCCCAACAACATTCTTGTAAATCTTTTCTGAACCCTTGCAAGTTTAACAATATCAAGGGACATAGCAGGGAGACCAGAATTGAACGCAGTATTCCAAAAGTGTTCCAAACAATGTCCATCAATGCCCCTCTAAGCCTCCTGTGCTTTACTTTTAAACTATGTCCCCTGGCAATTCACCCCTCTACCAAGGGAAAACATTTCTCCCTATCTACCCCATCTATGCCCCTCAGAACTTTATACACCTCAATCAGATTCCGTCCCCACCGCCCCAGCCTTCTCTACTCCAAGGAAATACAACCCCCAGCCTATCCAGTCTCCCTTGAGAACTGAAACAAAGGAATGAATTTGAATCCTAGAAATCACAAGATACAAAAGATTCATTGATATGGAAATTGCAAGAGATGACTTAAGAGCTAAAAATATCGGTGTAGGAACTTTAATATAGCTTTGGATTGTGAAATGAGAAAAGGGAAAAAGAAGAGACAGATATGACTTTGTTCTCAAAATGATTGATGCTGAGAACACTATCTTTGAGCAGCCAAACAGATTACACACTTGGAGAAATCCAGGCTGTGAATACAGGAATCAACTAGATTATGTAATAGTGAAATAACATTCAGAACAGTATAAAAGAACTGGAAGCAGTATCAAAGACAAGGCCAAATGACAGAAAAGGGGGAATAAGAGAAGTGAAAGACAGATGAATAAAAGGCAAAAATCAAACAAGGTCA